ATGCATTCAAAATGGGCAATGATTTTGTGTGTGTGTGTTGTGTGTAGCATGTGTATATGTGTTATGTATCATGTGTATGGATATGTATATATATTTCACTTTTAATGTGTGCCAGTGAACTTACAGTGAAAAAAATGACAATAAAAGTTGTCTTATCCTATCTTCCTTCTTTCCTTCCCAACCCCATTCCTCCCCACACCCTATTTTGTGTTGTCCATTGGGGAAAATGGACTTGTTTAACAAACAGTGTTTGCTTAATGACCACAAGGTTCACTTAATGACCATTAAGCCAAGTACTTACCATTTGTGAAGCATGCTAAATTTAAAGGTGCTGTGAGAGGCTGCTCGCTGAGAGAGGAATATGGGGAGATGTGCAACTTTTCTCCGAGCCAAGAGGGCTTTCTCTTCCTCTTGCCTCCACTCTTGGCGTGGAGAAAAGTTGGTGGGAGCAGCAGTTGAAGTGGTCGGTCACCCGTCCCAGGGCTCAATCACCATACCTTTGGGGGGTGGGGGATGCTGCGGCAGTGAGGTGGCAATAGCTGTGGCGGCAAGGAAGGCAATGGTGATTCTGCCGGCGTTGGGGCTTCCAGGACCAGCTCCCCCCTGCTACCCGTCAGCTGTTCCTGCAGCTGCACACGTGGTTCATCAGGGCTTCCGGGCTCTGCTCCCCACAGCCCCCGTCAGCTGTCCCAGACTCAATCAAGGGGTGCCTTGCTGACACGAGCCTCTCTATGTGTTCCTTCCTGCTGCTCTTGCTTGGAGAGCGAGAGTGTCTTTCCCGGCACAGCGAAAAGCCTGCAAGTCCCCCTCCCATTGGGAAATGGCTCCCGGGCAGCAGAGATAAACAGGATTCAATCTGGCTGCCTCTCTGCTGCCTGGAGCCGTTTCCTGATGGGATGGGGACTTGCAAACTTTTTGCTGTGCCGGGAAAGACTCTCTTGCTGTTGCAGCTGGAGCAGCAGATGAGAGAAGCAGCCGCTGACCTGGCTGGAGCTGACATGAGCCTCTCCACCTGTTTCCTGGCAGAAGGCACGGGGTGGTGGGAGGAGAGGAAGGCGACCGTGGCAGCAGCAAAAGGCAAGTGTTGGTGGGGAAAGGTGACCGCCGCCGGCGGCAAAAGGCAAGTGGTGAAGGGGGGGAAAGGGGAAAAGGCAAATGGTGGTGGGGAAAGGTGACCGGCGGTGGCAGATAGGCGACTGTGGCGTGCAGAGCCTCACTCACCCAGGGAGATCAGATCAGGCAGGGCCGCAGCACAGTGGAAGGCAGGCAGCAATGGCTGGCTTGGTGGGCGGGCAAAAGCAGGCTGCAGGCAGTGATGCCACACATGCACAATAAGGACTGAATGGGCAGAGAGCAGAGAAGGGCATGTCCAGCCAGAGGCCCAATTTACTGGTTCTCCGAACTATGGAGAATTGTAACAACTGGTTCTACTGAATCAGTAGAATCCCACCCCTGGTTTTAAGTTGAGGGCTACCTGTATTGTCAGTTTCACCATCATTACAAATTTTCCAATCTTGTATTATTGTCAATTCTATTTTATTTTTCAATGTTGTGCAACATTCGATCTCTGTATCTTAGTAAATTGTGGTTTTTATTTTCTATTTAAAATTTATTTTTCATTTAAAATTTACTAGAATTGCTTCCATTAAAATATCTGCTGTTTGTTTACTTTTCTCAATCTTTTTATATATTTCCCTCTTCTGAACTTTTTTTGCATGATCACATGTGCAAAAATGTTATTTTTGCAACATTTCCAACATTCATTGTTATGCCATCTATAACAAATTTTGTACCAATTCCCCCTCAAATTATAGCTTGCAGTAAATTTGATTTTGAATTTTCTACTTTCTCAAGCAATTTTAATTTGTTCCCCCTGCATATCCTATTTCAATGCTCATCTCTCTATGATCCTAATAGGTGATCTTGGGTTTTTTTTGTTTCAAATTCTCTCATCATTCTCAAGATTCCTCCTTTCTTGAGATCAAAATTTATTCTTTCAGTAGTTTGTAATTACATCAACTATGGTAAATTCCTACTTCCATCAAGATGTTCTTGCCATGTTTTTTAGTTTTTAACTATTTATCCTTTGCTTTACAATGTTACTAAGCAATTAGCATTGTGCTTTATCAGTCAAAATTGTTCATTTTATAGCTTGTTCAATTTTTAGGGTAAAATCCTGTCATTATACATAGTATTTTATGACAGATTTCTTAAAAGACTGAGAATATATCTTTAATTACACCACTTAAGGAATTGTGGTTTCTAAGATGCCCTACAATATTATATTTATTACCAAATAATACACAGCCAATTCTAAAAAACTGACTCAATATATTAAGCAAGCCCCACAAATCTGAACTGAGGGTCTCATCATCAAACTGGTTTCCCTCTCATTTCAAGGGCACTATCATCTTGATGTTGGCACTTGACCACATTGTAAATTGGATATAGCAGGATTGTCAGGATTAACAAGAACAAAAACCAAATTCGCCAATGTCAAACTAGTTTCACAATGATTCCAAACTTGCAGACCCTGATACTATTAAGTCAAAAGTATTCATATTATTTCACTTAAAATTGTACTTACATATTGCTTGGATAATCATTGTATCAACTTTGTCTGGGCTGAACTTCAATTTATATCGTGAGAGGCTAAAAATAAACATACAAAAGAAATAATTTTGTATACAAGCAGATGAAAACACTAATGAAAGTTTATTGAAAAATATTAATTCATTATTAAGCATTCCCTGTATTGGAAGCATACATTTGTTAAAGGCATACTGCGCAGCTATTAATGAAAGAGAATATTCACCTGGAACATGGAGAGATTAGAACCCAGGAACTCATATCCTTATATATCTTTAAAAACTATTGATGGAATTGCTTTTACTTGATGTGCTCACTAGTTTGCAGAAAAACGTAAGTTTAGGTCATGATGAAGCTTGATATTTGTCACAGATTTTTTTTGCTTCGCTTCATCAAAAAGAAAGTCATCCACTCACTAAATTGCAGAAATTAATTTTCAAAGAACTTTTGATGTTCATTATTATCTATACAGCTACCTGTAATTCAGTAACTCCCCCCACCCCCAGCATGGGTTTGTAAGCATACTCATTTATAGAAGTGAAACTTATATTCTACTTCATATACGATAAGCCAATAGGTAAAACAGAAAGCTTTCTTTAATGCGACATCCTCCAAATGTGCCAAATGCTTCCATCATTTCCAGTCTGTGTTTAATTACTTAGGATTTATATCTAACCATTTTGTTTGACGTTCAAGGAATCCATAGCAATTAAAAATACAAATGAAAAAATATAAAAATGAAAAAACAATTGAAATCAAGATAAAATTCTAAAATCAATATCACTGAAGTCAAAATTCAATTAACGAAAGAAATTTTCCTAAGTGTCAGGAATAATGGGATGTTAAACATGTAACTACATTCCATAAGGGGAGAGATGTGGCCCCAGTTTCAAAAGCTGATCAAGGATGGGAAAACAATACCTGTGTGCCAATCCTAAACACATAGCTGCCATCTCCCGGGATGGAAGGCCACTGATAAGTCCTTCTATTTGAGTGCGAATGCCTCTCATCAGTTCAGTAACCATTGGACTATGGATGCAGCTTAAGTTCAGTTTCTCCTGCAGAAATTCAAATTGTACCATTTTGATCAAAATGCACACAATATGGTCAAAACAACAAAAATATTTACTGTTCAGTATATAACAAATATAAGTTTGCCCAAACCTAATGCACTACATTTTTGTATGCTCCATACTTCTTCCTAACTGTAGACCATTTTTGCCCTCCAATCTAACTAGCCATGAAGGCCAATGGCAAAGGACTTATAAATGGCAATCTAGGTTGGTCTAGAATCAACAGGCTACAAGCTTCCAGAATAATTACCCTGAAGGTAAATAATGTTTTGATTTTTTAACTTAATTTTTATCTCTACATAGTAACATTATGTACCATAAAACAACTTATAGGGTTTCAGAGAATCATATTTAAAATTGGTAAGATTTTAAGAGCCCATCATTTCCATGAGATCCTGCAGAAGCATGTTGCACCTGTCATCAATAAAAGTGTATCATCTGGTGGTACCCAGAAAGCTAGCCTTTTTGTAGTGCCTGCCTTTGGAATATTATTTCCCTGTGATTAGATTTATCTCAAACCTGCTGGCCTTGAAGATGTGGCTGTGTTCTGGGTTTGGGGCACCAGTCAGAACTCATGAGTTGGCTATAATAATCAGTTTCATTGGTTTCCAGATGCTGGTTTTTGCAGTTGGCCAGGTTTTTTTTAACTGTTATTAACTGCCTAAAATAACTATAATTGCCAGCTGGGATTTCAAAGGCTCTTTCCTGTTCTCTATGCAGGCCTTTGGAGGGGACAATCAATGTCTCTTTCTTCCTTTCTGTTCCCCTCTCGGTTTAATTTCCTTGTCATCAATATCCCTCTTTGTCTTATACGTTTTTTGTGGGGTTTTCGTACTGTTTTTTAAAATAAGAATCGTAAAACCACCCAGAATTGCTAGGAGTTGAGAGGCATATAAATTTAATAAATAAATTTATGGTGTGAATAAATTATTACAGGCTCTTAGTACATGCTGTTATTGGAATACCACTTAGCCTTTTTAATGTAGATATTAAGACTTACCTTGATTACACCTCCCAGTTTGGCATCTGCTACAGCTAGCTGTTCATGGGCATCTTTGGCTACTATTTTCTTTAATATTTTCTTTAAATTTTTGCTGATTTTGCCTTCTACCAGTGCTGTTGATGCTGGAGGAGAAAAAAAAAGCTGCAAAAAATCTAGAATTTTCTAAAAGACCCAGCCAGAAAAATAAGCATGGAATAAAAATATATAATTAGTTCTAACTACAAAATACTTCTGATAAGATATAATGCACGGATGTTACTAGTTTAGGTAATGAAATGTTTGCAAGAAAACAACCAAGCTCAGAGTACCAAGCATAGCTCACAAAACAGTTCATTTTCTCTGTTGTCTCAGTGGTAGTGACGAAATGTTATATACAATCACATTGATTCAGTCCACTAACAATGCATCATTGACAACAGAAATTGGTATGAAGCCTGCATATTCAATTCTCAGGCCTGTAATCTTTTACTAAACTCTAGTTAATACTATACAAATTCTACTATACTGACTATATCGTATATTAATTAAAAAAACATGATAAAGACACAAGGAAACAGAAGGAGTGAGCACAGAAAGGATAGCAAACACATAGTGTACTCATTCTCTCAGCTGCCATTAAGCATCTTTACCCAAAACAAGATTAAATATATGGGACCTCAATCAAGGTCAATGCCACTAGGCACAAAAGAAGAAAAGGCTTTTTTCAACCAAGTCCTTTGTTTTTAAGTGGAATTTACCTCCCCCTACTGGATAATGAAATGTAAAATGTTATTTAAATAGAGATAATCCCGTAAAAGTAAAATTGCTCCTAACATCTAACTCAGCTTGGAGGTTGGAAAAAGGTAGCCATTTTATGTTTCCAATCTGGGTTCAGATACCATGAGACACTATAGTTTAACTGGATTAACATAACAAAAACTCCATGGCACTAGACTACGGAGGTACATTGTCTGAACTATAATCTTGGCCATGATTCAGTTTTGGATGACACCAAAACATGACATTACAAATATGCTGTAGTAGCACTAACCCAACTAGATTATTCTCCCATGGAGTAACCTTATCTAACTTGATGCTGTATAAATATGCATTTTTGCTGGAGATAATGGAAACTATACTCCAACACTTCTGGAGGAATCAAGATGGAGAAGGCTGCTTTAAATAGTGAGAATGCATTTGTTAATGATATGAAAATGGATTTTCTACCTTGCATACATTATATTTATTGATGTGTGTACTAGCAAATGTGAAAATAGTTAGAAGTTCATGTGTACCTTTCAGAAATTTATTTGCAAAGTTAGACATTGCCAAGGATGTAAGTAAAGCTATACAAAGCTTGCAAGAGTCATTATATAAACTTTGCAAGAAAGGAAGGAAGGTAAGGTGGCAAAATGACTCAATACGTCATAGGTTAAATGCTACTTCCAAGTCCAATTTAAAGCAGTAAATTTAATTTACCAAAAAATTAAAAGTTTATCCTCCCCACACCTAATCATTGATCACACTCATTGCAGCTATAAGAATTGAAATCCAACATCCCAGATGGCCAGCACTTCTTCTCCTACTTTAAGCAGCTTGCTGCCAAACTAACTGAAGGGCCACCTCTTTCAAGTAAATCACTCTGTTTCTTCTACAGTAACAGCCCTAGAAGGTCAATTTATGCATTCCTGAAAAATGCACTCAGTGTCTGGAATCTGGTTTAAGATTATGTTATCCTTAAAAGTGATCAATAACCTTAATAAAGTATTACCTGCAAGAGCTTCTGTTGTGTCTTGAAACTTCTCAAAGTGTTTCAGTTTTACGCTAAATAAAAAACATAAAAATGTTTTTGCAACAAGCATCAGGACCTGAGGAATTGTTATCAATTATAAACATTTTTCAAGAATCTCAAAAATTGATAAGCATGCAATCTCTGGCTTTTTTAAATTAAAACTCCCAGTCCATTAGGTCAGTGTCTCCTATACAGAGAGAAAACTGTGCTTTAAAAGATTTTGGTTCAGATATTAACTTTTAGACAAGTTGGCCACCCATCTAATAATTATATGTAGCCCTCACTTACCAACTGCCTTGGAGAACAATCATTTGCAGTTAGGACAGTGAGGAAAAAATAACAGTGACCAGTGTGCACATTTCCAAACTTTGATTCATCCCTTCCTCAATTTCATTTGCCATTATTCCGTATGTGTTGTCCAATGTAAGCAGTTGAAATCACACGATTTTTCACTTAGTGGCCACTTGGCTTAACAATGAAATTTTTGGTCCCAATTGTGATTACTATAACCTGTGTAGCCTACTTTATAGAATAATATGTAACTATTACAAATATAATAGACACAAAATAGAAAAACATTCTGCATAACATATATTGTATACAAACATGAATTTTATAAAATTATAAGATACACTTAATTAGTTCATTAATCAAGTCAATTACTTCCTACTTATACCTAACTGATGAGTCATACAAATCATGTTCCACTTGAGCAAGCCTTCTCGTGCAATTCTTGTGATACCTAAGCCCAGTGGTCATTCAGATTTTTGCAACTCAGATCTGATAGCCCTAATTACCATAGTGCTGCAGAGTTAAACATAGCATAAACCTAGCTCTTAGAATGAAGTACTTTTGCCACCCATACCCAAAACTCTGACTAAAAATGTCAACCTAGTTGTCAGATATTTTTAGTCCGTTGCAATTTAACAGTTTACAGATGCAATGAAACAAAAATAGGGAAATACAAAAAGACAAAAAACACAAAACACAAAACATACAATGCTGAACAGCAAGATATCATAATGTAAATTCCCATCAAAAAAACTCAGTGTTCACCATCTTCTGGAACAGGACTGTTGAACTCCCAGCCCACAGGCTGGATGGGTCATGTGCTGGCCACGCCTGGTTTAGCAAAGGGGAAAAAAGTCCTGATACATCACGTGATGCTGCCATGACATGAGTTTGACACCCTATGGCCAAGACATAATAACGACAATACGTTTATTTAGTTGATTTATAGATGGGTTTTTCTACCAATTAGAAGATGAATTAAGTATTTTATATCCTGTATTCAAGAATATAAAGTAGTTCCAGAAAACCCCATAGAAAAAGATGAGGAAAGTAAACAAAACTAGAAGCCATGCGCTTGAAATATTAGTTACTACTTCTTGAAGAACTTTACTTACATTTTATTAGCTTTTTCAGGTGTTTCGAACTCTTTCCATAAGTTGTCAATTTCTTGAAGCTTTTTCTCATCTATAACCTTTGGTAAAAATAAAAATTAATGAAATATATGCAATATTTGGCAACAAAGTATCTGTTGTATTTGTTACTATGGGAAATTAAAAATGTGAATCTATACTCCAAGCTTTGAGTAAAAAAAATATACACAATACGTCTATTTTATGAACTGTATATCCATGCCACTTAACTTTTCCAATTTCAGTTAGAATAAAGTCCAGTGGGAAGTTGTAAACTTTTTTGCTAATGTTTATTTTGCTGGCTTAAACGTAGCTCCAAAATTGTGACTTTGAAAAGCAGGATATAAAAGTTCATATCATTTTTATTCATAAAAAGATATGAACTTTTATATCCTGATCTTCAAAGTCACAATTTTGGAGCCCAGTTTATGAATCAAGCTTAAAATTGAAGTCCATCATTAGACAGGCAGGACATAAACTGAATGAATACAATAACAGAGTGAAGTACTCCTGCCTCAGACAAGGGCTTTTTTGGGGTGGGGGAGGGGGAGTTCCTTCAGTCAGAGAAACTAAGTATTACCAAAAATGTCCATGAGAATTTAAAAGTGATTCAGATTCAATTTTAATACACAATGAACCCTAATAATATTGCAAGAGAAAAATTAGTTTATCTTTCCAAAATAGATCCAAATTACTTTGAAGACCCATTTTCCTTGCAACTTTTTCCAGCACATACAATAGTCCATATAATTCACCAGAATTGGCAACAGAACAGCAGGAAGGCTAAAGAAAAAAGTATACAAAGCACCAAGTTGCATGGGAGAATTTCTGCTGCATACAATGCAGGCTTTCCCCCACCCACCCAAAAACAATACAGGTATTGTCAACCTACAATCACAATTGTAGAATTTATGTTGCTAAGTGAGAAATTTGTTAAGTGAGTTTTGCCCCATTTTATGACTTTTCTTTGAGCAGTTGTTAAGTGAATCGCTGCAGTTGATATGTTAGTAACCAGGTGTCAAGTGAATCTGGTTCCCCCATTGACTTTGCTTGTCAGAAGGTCGCAAAAGGGGATCACATGACCCTGGAACACTGCAACTGTCATAAATATAAACCAGTTGTCAAGCATCTGAATGTAAATCATGTGACCATCGGGATGCTGCAATGGTCATAAGAGCGAAAAGCGGTCATGTCACTTTTTTCAGTGCTGTTGTAACTTTGAACAGTCCTTAAATGAACTGTTGTAAATCGAGAACTATCTGTAGTTTGTGAGTGAGTTTTCCTTTCTTTGGAAGCAAGGAGCCAGCATATAAAACCTCAACATCCCTTTCCGGATTAAAAGCAACTGCCTTAAAATATATATAATTCTTTGTTCAGACAACCAGTTGGATAAAGATACAACCAGGTTTAAAGCAGCTGTATGCCTCCCAGTTATGACACCCTTTCATCACTAGGGGACTCCTTTCACACCAAAACCAGAAAAGCATTAAGTAGGAATGTTCCAATCTGTCCTTCCCCTCACCCCCAGTGGCAAAGGAGAAAGAAGATGATCCACCCACGAGCACAAAGTAGGCAGGACACTGCCAATCCATTTCGGGGAATTTGAAAATGGATTCAGAAAGCTTAAAGAAGAAGGCTGGTCATCTAAAAGTGATCAGCATTTCTTTCAAGTTGCTAACCCCCAGTAGGAAAAGGGAAGTAATCCTTTATGGAAAACAATTAACGCGATTTAGCTCATTCTGCCATTCAGCGCAGCAGAGGCGAAAACAAGCCTTCTACTTTCGACTCTCGCCATTCAGCCAAACCCCGCGAGGAGCCCAGGAACACGTGCTTACCGCCCAGCCTCACCTTGAAGATGGCGTACCCGGCCGCCGTCTCAAACAAAACCAGCATAGCTGCAGCGCGATCAGGGCAGGCAGCGCAGGGGGTCCCCGGGAAAAGTACAGATTGCGCGCGTGGCAGAAGTACGCGGACTAACGGACCACGCGTTGCAAGAAACATGCGCCGGACGAGCGGAAGTCTCTGGCTCGCTTCACCCGGAAGTGCTTTTGATGGCCTGCCGGAAGACGGAACATAGCAGAAGGCGGGGAAAGGGAGCGAACATTTTTGAAACGGCGGGGCTCGCTACTTGATTTCCTATTGTGTTCATGTGGTCTAAAGGGGGAATTCTTGTAATTCATAGGCTTTTCTAGGTTTCAGTAAAACTCGTGGGGAGATTTTTTTTGTCTGCG